TTCTTATTATTATTATTATTTGCTTACGACATTTCATCACGTGGCATTAATTTTAGTAGAATTATTCACTAATGATCAAAAATTCATACGAAGTCTTTCAGATATTATTTTTTCTTACTATATCAGGATGATCAGGAATGATTATAAAAACAAAATAGATCTTCAAATATTATTCTGAATAACTACAACTGAGGTCGGAAAATATCCGCCGAATGAAACATCTAAATAAACGAATCGAAAAAAAACTATAGCGTAAGTCCTACAGATATTCTCACATCATATCAGTAATTATTCTAAAAACCTTTAGATAGTGAAATATTCTATCATAATGTTACATTTTGTGGGAAATTATTCTGAAGACCATCAGGTTGCTTATTGCAATGAAAATGATTAAGAATTATTCTGAAGACCTTTAAACTCCAAATTAGTTATGAGAAGATGGGAATTATAAGGGGAAGTGCAGGAGTATTCCAATTAAAATTCTTAGGTGAAAAAAAAAATTGATGATAATTCTAAGATTCTGCTGACCACCATCCCAAAAAAAAAAAGAAAAAAAACTGACAAGAACTCCAAAGGCATTTCAACCATAGGTAGTAGGCTAGTAGGTTCCGAAGAAATGTGCTCAACTTTTTGGCTCAGCGCTGGTACTCTCTTCAGTCCCAAGCTAATCGAAACAGGAAAATCCACGAACCCTTCATTTTATCAAACTTTCATAGCGAAACAAAACAAACATAGTGTAGTACTAGAATTTCGACTAGAATGGAGTACGTTGATCGATTTGCTTGGGACCAATAGGCTAGTCAAGTAGTGAGCCAATTTAAAATCGTTAGTTTCCACTGGCTGTTTCAACTGAATTATAATAACAATTCAAACGAATCTGAGCATAGTTTTAAAGCAATTCTAAGACAAACACTAATTCTGAGGTTAGTTTTAAAAGACAGTGCGTGGAATAATCTAAGGATATTCTAATGATTACGTTAATCAAAGCACTTCTTGGAGCATTCCAATGGCATTTTTGGGAGAATACTGAAGAATATTTCTAATATTTTTTTAAAAGTATTCCAACGAAATTTTGTGGAGAATTCTACGCGATTAAATGAAGAATACCTAGAGAATGCTGATGACAGTTCGTATGAGATGAACTAGCCATATGGCTAAAAATCTCTATAATAAAGAAAAAAAAATGATGACAGTTCCAAGGCAATTCTACGAAAAAGAAGAGTTCCGAGGGTTAATAAGATCTGATTTGTAATTCTACTATACTTCTTCAATGAGTTTTTTGTAATTGAAAGAAAGTGGATAAGTGAATTCCAAGAGTTTTGTGGAGAGAATCGCTAAAGCATTATGGGGAAAATTTAAAAAGATTCCCTGATATAATCCAAACTATAAGATTTTTAAAATTCTGACATGAACATAATTGTTTACAATCTCCAACCTTGCCCAAAGTCCGGCATTTAGAAAAATGTTGGGGATTGCTAACTTTAAAAAAAGTGCTTGAGGCAGAACATTTTTAAGGTGCTCAAGATCTTGAGCTATTCACACTCTAGGACAAAACATATTTTTCGAAAAATTTGAATAAGAAAAAAATGATATCTTGGCCTTAGTTGGAATTTAGAATTCCAGACGTGAAGAAATACATATTAAAAACCCACAAAAATAATTGCCCACTCTATTTAGAAACCTGAAGCTTGATTTAATGGATTAGGATGGATCCATGGTTTACCAAAAGCGTGAATAGTCTTATGAAAAAATCAGACTTTTGTAAATTTTTAAGGTTCTAATATCGAAACAGATTGTCAAATTATGTCTCATAATTTAGATAATGTTTTGAAGCACGAAATTTGAAATATATAATAGTCTTAGTTACATAAAGACACTAGAATAAATGCTATTGGGCCGAGTAGGTCAGTGGACCGAATTTTATAAGGTGATAGATTGATAGAGAGAGTTTTTAGAAGCCTATCTGAGAAAATTTGAGGCTAGGTCAGTTTGTTTACATTCTTGCTAACTTTACGAGATTTTAGGCTTCATAAAACCTTATATTTTAAATATGACGTTATTTTCAAAATCACTCAAACCCCCAACGTCATAAAACTATCCTATTTCAATTCCAAATTCTTCAAGATCATCAAAACTTGAGGAGTTTGCGTTTTGTTTTTAGATGAAATAATCTGTTCAGAAATGACGGAGTTATATTTGTTTTAGCATTTTCCAGTATCAGACGTTGGAGGTGAGAATGCCAAATCACATGAGTTTTGATGGGAATTGTAGTCCTCTACAATTTACTTTCTTTAAGAATTCTGATGTCACTTATAAAGGAATGTGATTAGAAATTCCCATATGATAATTTTGAGAACCATTTAGAAAAAAATGTTTTAAGAACTAAACATGATTTCCAAGATAGTTCTGATGATACTATTATCGAGATTATGAGTAGAAATCAAGGGAATTCTGAAATCTGAAGGAATTTTGACAAACTGAATAATGATATGGATACAATTTTGACACTACCCTTAATGATGACCTACGGATGAAAATCTCTTGAAATTGAATATCAATAATAATTCTAGAAGAACTTGACTAAGCATATAATTTTTAAAAAACTTTACAAAATTTTAAGTTAGTTTCAATGATTATAAGACGGGGTCCCTAGAGTAAATTTTTAACATTATTTCCAAAAAAAAAGCAGAGTAGCGTCCTAAGAGATTCAAAATAAATTCCTAATTTTAAGGAGAGTTCCTTGATTGTTCTAACAAAAAAAATCCAAAAAATTCAAAGAGATCCTCTCAAAGCCATTTTTAGAAGAATTTCGAGGGAATTCTGAGTTAAAATCCGAAGACATTCTGGAAGAATACATTCTAAATTTTAAAGAGCCTACCAAGCGTCGCTTAATCTTAATTTTTACCTGTTCTCCCTATTAGAAAACGTAAACAAATAAAAAAAATTGCTTAAATAGATACAAATCAGTGAAACTAGAAAATTCTGTTCTAATTAGAACCGATTGAGATATAAATATGGCTATAAATTGCGTTTTTAAAGTCGGAGGGCAGGTGAAAAGTGAAATTGCGCGACGCCACTGATACCAAGGGATTTCTGAATACTTCAAGGGAATTTTATGTAAAACTATGGAGATAAATTAAAGCAAATTCTCGTGAGATTTATAAAGAATACGAAGATAAATGAAGAGTGTATTCCTAAACTGTCCTGCACAGAATTCCGAATTTGTTGTGGAGAAACTCTCTAGGGAATACCGAAGAATCATATTGAGGGGAATCCTGAAAATAACTCTCAAGCTAAAGGAAACGAGTTCAAATATCATACACGGACAAGCCACGAATCACCCAAAATGTATAAAAGTGGCATTAATACTAAACAAAATCGTTGAAGACATTTTTAAATTATCCTATGAATATATTTAAATTTTTCAAATCCTGAGATATGTTCCAAATAAATCACTTAGTTAATTCAGACATTTAAAATGATCCTAGTCTAACAAAATTGTTCCAGATTATGGAACCAGAAATTTCTGAAAAGATGTAACTGTGAGAGGTATGAGACCTCCAGGCCCCACTGACAGGGTCTATACCAACAACAAAGTTTGACAGTAGGCAGCATGTCCCGGGCCCAAATAATGTGTTTTGATATCAAGTATAAGTTGCCTACGCGATAATGACGTCCTAACATGTTGGAGATCTTAAACTCGTAAAAATCTTCCATACGCCGTACGGAAATTCAATATTCAATATGGATCAATTTTCTAGAATCTCTGTGACATGAAAAATTTCCCAAGGTTCTAAAATTATCAAAATCTTTCAAAATGTCGGACATCAGACATGGAAAAACGTTTTAAGATCGCAACAATTTTCAATTTTCGTAGCAATTGTGTAGGATTTGTATTGGAATCATTAAAGAAAATCTGGAATTGACAAATTTCCGAAACTCTGGAACTAAATTTGTGGTATCCCGTACTATGGAAAAAAGTTCAGAATTCCGAGCTTGAAGAAATATTCAAGATTCTAAATAAAATATTCGAGATATCTCGCATACATTTGAAAAGAGCCTATCAGCTTTTCTAAACAAAACAAAGACCCTTTTTCACGCAAACCAAAAATATTATTGGGAAGGGAAGAATTTCCCCAACCAGATGGCGTTATTGGTTTGCATAGACGAGTTTATATTCGCGCGAAAAGGGCCTTTGTTTTGTTTACAAAAGCTGATAGGTCGTTTTCAAATGGTATGCGAGATATCTCGATTATTTTAGTTGTAATCTTGAATATTTCTTCAAGCTCGGAATTCTGAACTTTTCCTTCTCAAATGTTACGCGGAGATAGATGTTACGATCTATTCGAAGATAAGGTTTAACGAACACATAAGCATCGTAACCGCTAAAGCATATATAGTGTGCTTGGTTTTATTCGTCGTCAAGCTTCTGGTTTCAACGATGTTTATTGTCTCAAAACGCTATTCTGCTCGCTGGTTCATAGCATCTTAAAATATCCTTCCCTGATTTAGACTCCATTTTACATTACGCATATCCTTGCGATTGAACGGATTCAGAAAAGTTTTATAAGGCTTGCCTTGCGTTACTGGCAATTCCATTTCACAGAACACAATAATTGTTTTAATTCTTGTTTGCGTTCCTTTAATGACGTTTGTAACTAATTTGACTTTAATTTGTCCAAAACTTTGTTTATTGCTAGAATATGAGGTTTCGATAACATTAGTTTTTAAGTAACCAGTCTGTACGACGTAGCCGAAGAATCGGATCTTTTCTACGCACTATTCATTGAGGAACACAAAACTCAACATCCAATTCATTTGATCAAACATATTACCCAGCGGTATGACGCACTCCCGTTATCAGCTCCATTGTATACCACAGCGCAAGGCAATTCCCAATTTATCCAGCGTGTGTTGTAGTCAGCCACCCGTCATAACCCACCTTATCTCGCGTGTTTTATCAACAACAATCTGCTCCCCAAAAATTAACCCCCACCTACCTTTCTTTTAACGATCCAGTATTCCCGCCCCTGCAGTTCGTCCTCCAGGTCCTGCTCCTGGTTCCAGATCTGCTCCAGAATCTTGGAAAACGCTTCCCGGTTTTCCTCGTCCAAAGCCACGTGGATGTACGCGTGCCAGTTGCTCGAATTGAAGCCCCAGTGGCAGGTACGGTTCTCCTGCCGGTCGTGTTGATGGCAAACAAACTTCTGTGGGGAAAACATTCCCAGGCACTCGCAGCACTCGATACAGGCCGGTTCCTTGAAGCTGTACAGTGCCGGCGTGAAAATGCCTTCGCACTTGCCGAAGCACCGGTGGTACACCCGGAACGTGGTCGCCCCCTTGATGTTCCGTGTATCGTCCGCTTGGTGCAGCATGTAGCTGCAGAGCCGTTCAGCATTGGTTCGGGTGATCAACCCGCACGTTTTGGCCGTGTCCGGGATGATATTGACCCGCTTGAATTCCTGCAGCTGCTGGTCCGTACAGTTGTACAGGTAGATCATCAGCTCCTGGATGCTTCGGTTGATCTGTTCGACGGAAAAGTCCATCAGGATGTTGTTGAATATTTGCGGCAGACAGAGTCGCATTTCGCCCCCCAGCAAGAAGCAACCGATCTTTTTCCCCTCCAGAATGGTCAACTGGACAATACCGCAGTCCGGATCTGGGGTGGTCATAATGGGGTGCGATGGCATCGGAAGAGGTCCCGTGATAGGCTGCATAATCAGGCATTCTTCCAGGGGATCCGGAGAGTCTGGACGCTGGCCCGGGGCACCACTGTTGGCGCCGCCGGCCTTACTCGGATGGACCAGGGATAGGCCCGGTCCGTGCAGACCTTTCGGTGCATTATCCTGGTAGGTTTTCAAAACCGTAATCAGCTGAGGCGGTACGTACTCTGTCATGGTTGTTTGTTGGTTTGTTGTTTGTTGCCACCAAGTAGATGTGCGAGCTCTCGCGCTCTTGAGGGGGCAGACCGAGTGAAAATAACAAGCTTCTTATAAATAGATTCTTCAATATGATCTTTTCGTTTAGCACAAACACAATCTTCTTATTTCTGATATTCCTGCTAGAGCTTCACGATTCAGCTTCTTCCATCATAGCTTTCGCGCTCTGTAAAACACACTTTCAACTCACACGGAAAACCCAAACACCAGGGTGGGATGTTCTATTCTCGCAGCAACATTCCGATTAGACAAAACATGCTAGGGATTTTTTTTTCTCCTCTCGAATGCTTCTTTTTCTTTTTCTTCGGGCCTGTCAGACAAAACCTTGGCCACCCTCAATTTTCCCGATGCGTAACACACTGGCTGTCGTTTCTTCTCACACGCGCAATCTTCACTTCCCTCCTACCGTGGGGTCTGGCATTTAACTGCACATTCGTAGGCACCTCCACCGAGACCTAGAACAATCACTTTTCCAATCGGAATCGCTTCGTTCCATACAGACCGAACTAATCGCCTACACCTGTTCACTGGTGCATCTTCCTCCTCCCGGCTTCTAGTCTAGCCGTGGAACATTCCGACACCACAGTCACCCGCGGTTCGGGCTAGTACGGGAGATGCATTCGCGGAAAATTTATCACCCTTTCTCTCTCTCTCTTCCTATAGACTGCCGCAGACTAAGATGGAAACCAAGTAATTCTGGGCAGCTGCAAGCGCGAGCCAGCGGAAACCATGTGCCAAGAATCTTTCCCTTTTACTCTACACGGTACACACGCTGGGTACACGCTTGGCTCACAAACTTTTAATTTTAATTGGCACTAAAATTACTTCAATTTTTGCTTTCTCCACTTTTCCGCGCGCGTCGTGTCTGGTGCTTTTCGGACTACGACGGCGACGACGACGACGAATACCACGGTTCTTGCGTTTCCGCTGCTGCTCTCGAACGACGGCGGCCGCAACGACGAAGACGACGGCGTAGTACCAAAGAAGAAAAAAAAAACGGCAAAACGACGGTGGTTCGAAATTCGATAAAAAGAAAACACACTAACGGGGCGCGGTGAAGAAGAGCTGCACTTACGCAACGTTTTATTTATATTTGTCACTCTCTTCTCCCCCTTGACGGTTCTCCCTCTGCTTCAACACACGCAGTATTTTGCGTTAAATTGACGACATGCCCGGAGACTGACCCCGCACGCACCAAGTTTCAGTGAATTCGGTCCGAGACATTCGTCGCAATCGAAGCCATTTTTTTCGGACCGTCAATTCGTCGGATTTCAATAAGCTTCGGCACACTACCCTTCTGATTCTGCTGGACTAGACTGGACGCCTTGTGACCTTGCTGCATTAATCAGCTCCCAGTCGCACAATGTGGAACATTTGATTCGGTCAATCCTCACCAAACCCAGTTAAAATTTTCGCTCCGGATACGACGAAAATCACTGCATTGAATCTATTTTCTGTTCATCCTGTCCTGTTTCGCGATTCTACTCCTTCCTCTCGCATCACTCTTCTTCTGTATGGTTACTGTTACTACAGACGGAACGGTTGGTTCCGATCCGACGACGGCACGTCTCCCCCAACTGGCACTATTCCTATATCCTCTGCCGCCACACGACCAGTCTCTCTAGTGACTTTCAGTAGGCCCTCCGCCGCCGCTGCTCTTCTTCTTCCGTTCCTTCTTCGGCAAATCTTCCAAATATCACACACTTTAATCCCACAACCAGTGAGAACAAGCTCGCGCGCGCGACACAAAACAGAACCTTCGCGTTTGTCTAGCAAAACATGTCTGCCAAGTGATGAACCTTTTCGAAAGAGAATTTTTCGCTATGTTATGCTAAGAAACCCACACCAACAGCCCACCGTGTACATACACAGGCTAGACACAACAAACTCACACCAGCCCGTTTCTTCGCTTCTCTCTCAACTCGCAACTGGCTAGTGTGAGTACCCGGACAAGCGCAAGCGAGACAGCTGTACATCTTTTGCAAATCGATATTTTTGCGCAATTCTATCCCCGTAAAAAAAAGAATTTATTCACGTCTTTTCCACCCTCTAATCGAGCACTTTCAACATAATTTCCCAAAGTCACACCACTTTTCCACCAGTCTCAACCCTCGTCCAGCGCAAGCTCCTCACAACCGATTCACTTTTCGCCGATCAACTTCCAGCACACAAAGTTCGCGAGTCCACGAGACAGACGATTCTGTCCTTTTCGCTGTCCCAAAAACATCCCGCGAGAGCGACGCTCATCTCCTTCACTCTCGCACACACGACCAAAGATTCATGAAAAATCGACCTGCAGATTGGTGCCTACACACAAACACATGCTTCCCGCGAGACGGATCGCGAAAGCCGTCGTCCGTCGCCGTCTCGATGCGCGACGCTGGCTAGCGGCGGCGGGCGGTGATGGTCGCGAAATGTGAGTGTATTGTGTGGTGACGGTGGTGACACCCATACAAACGTCGTTTTCTCTCGGTCGTCTCATCGTTCCGTTCCAGCCCAACGCTGTTCAATGTGTTTGAGAGATGGATCTCCTCCACTCGAATCTCGATGGGTTTTCATTTATAACCCAACAACAATACCCATTAGCGGGAGAGCATAAGCCAGTGGAAGAGACGAGGGTTGAATTAAAAATTCGTCTGGACGCGCGAATGCAGAGCGGCGACAGCGACAGACACATACACTCATGCAATGGCAATAATATCAATATCGCGGACTGACGGATGCATGGATGGATGAAGATCCGCGACCCACCAATCAAGACGAAGGGACGGCAGAGAGATTCAATGACAGCTCTATTGGCGTCTTGCAGTGAAACTTTTCCAAGCTTTCGCCACCTACATTTCGAAGTGAGAACTACTAGAAGGAGGATAGTTTCCAAATTTTCCAAGTAAAACAGACGCTTTTTGGGGCAAATCGGTCCATTAAGAAAAACTAATAATTTCCCGTGGAAACTTTTGCTTGAATCGTGTAAGAAAACGTGTTTGAAAACTATTTGTTATTATTTCGGTATGGATCGGAGATGTTTTCATGGCAAATTATGCATAACAAGTTTGCACCCACAGGGAGAGGTTACCTCCTGCGCAGCTGCATTTTTCAGAAAATGGTAAATATGTGAGATTTACACTAAGATGAAAGTGGAAATTAAGTTCATTTACTTATGAAAGGTTGTATCATGCTGGTGGTAATGGAGAATTGGTTGTATAGGACGCCAATATTAAATAAATGTTCATTTTGGCCTTTTCTAAGAAAACATATTGATACTCACAATTTTCGACGGAAAACGCAACGGAACTTGCTTTACTCAACACGCACCATACTATAAAATGGTGCTAGATGGTCTTCAAAGTGATAACAAGAATACAAATCATCTTTATTTTGAGTAATTGAGCAATTTACTTCTGTTTACATCATATTTACAATGCAGCATTGATGGAGCCGCGAAATGAAATGAATATATCTAATGAAAGTTCAACTGGAAAAGTCAAAGATGCATATCAGTCTGATCGTGAAAACGTTTTCTTCTTCAATTCGAATGTTATATTGGAAGGATTTTACACAGGCTTGATGAAAATTATGATTTAACGCTAATTTTTACGAATTTTATATGCAGTCTGTCAACATTATCATCATCATGCAGTGGCGACATCTGCGTTGAGATTTTACGGCAATCTTCCAATTATTTTCCACGATTTCTAAGCTGGAACGGGGTGCGAAAATACGAAAGATTATGAATTAGCATTAATAACACAGATGCCACAAAATATGCAAAATCCAAAACAGTAGATTCAATTTGTTGTTAACATCATGTTTTATTATTGCTGATCGCATCTGAAACTGTACTGATCCTAAATTGCAAAAAGTGTGATAAAAGAGCGAGTTTCCGTCAAATCGTGTTGGTGTCTTCGGAGCACTTATCACGGCAACTGATAACCCTGATAACTCACTCACTCAGTCGAATTCGCAAAAACGTACAGTCCAAGGTGACTACATATGGGTGTTATCTAGGCGAGTACACGTTTGTTTGTTTGTACACGACTAGTTTGTCTCATTTTCTCCTTCTAATGTTGTCATAAAAGAAGGAGCAAAAACAGGGGTAGTAAAGTGTGGGAACCCAACGTTGGGTATAATCATATTTACCTACTGTTGGGTACAACTAACTTACTTTTGGTTAAAAAGCTAGTGGAAAATTCCATACGAACTGCACACAAGTAAATCAAAATTACTTTGACCCGCTTTACCTACTTTTGGGTTCCTGCACTATAGTGCCGAGATGAGTGAAAAGAACTTAATTTTGGGTACTTTTTTCTAACCGTGTAAGAGAGGTGACACAGTCGGAAGAAGTGTTAGTTTGTTTACTAAAATGAACCGCCCATTTTGATATGGCAAGTTTTGCTATAAGAAATGCTCCTCGTGTTTATTGGCGAAATTCACATCAAAGATTGATTAATTGCGTTGGAAATCAGTTTGGCACAGCATTTGTGACCAGCATACACCTTCCGGTCGTATGAAACAGCTCAAAAACTGTCCAAATCCGCAGATAAAAATTTTTGTTTTAAATTTCTGTATGGCAAAATAGTGAACTTTTCGTGAACATTAACGGCAAAGAACTCACCAACTCTGGGAGACCGTGAGTTCCTGCCCACCTGTCTTAAAAACATCTCGGGGTGTTATAATCAAGAGGGGAGGTGGCTGTCAAATACGAACAATCGTCGCCTACCTCGCATGCCTCGCATAACTGGTTCCAAACGTAAACAAGCCATAAGAAACTTACAGCGTTTGTTTACGTTTGGAACCAGTTTCATACGAGAATGATCAGTAGGCTGATTTGACAGCACGCCCCCCCCCCTCCAGGTTATAATGTGTCAAATTTATGATTCAGCCATGTTGGATTTTTGTATAACGGGTGTTCAATCAAAAATGAGAATTTTTTCAGTCAGCTAGTGAAAAAAACATTTTTTTTTCAACACGAATTCAGTAATTTTTATTTAAAAAAACGTCAATGAATATTGGAGAAGGGGCCCTGGTCAGCCGTACGATGCAACTGAGTCGCGATGCTCTCACAAGAGCGCTGGACTGCACTGAAATCATTCTCATTTTTTATTGAACACTCGTTAGAACAGCGACCGAGTTTGTTTACAATTTGCTCTAAAACCACACATTTTCTCCCGCGATCTCCTCGTCCATATAGTGACCAAGCTGTATCACCATGGTGCACTCTAAGCTACGATAACCTAAAATTATTGGTATTTTTACCGATAAAAATCGTTACTTTTTACTTTATATATGCTTTTTTTTACTATAAATTAGGAAATGTCCATGATAAACGATAATTTAGGCACAGACAAACAGACATAACACATTGAATATTTCTCATTGTGAAACATCGTTGCTAAAACATTACCATTATCTGTTGAGTACACTGTGCACGGATACAAATTTTGTTCATTTAAAACAAAAATATAAATGTTTATACTCTAAGCATATGAATTATTCAAAGTAAATTGAAAGCATGTTTAAAACTAAAATATTTATGTTCGAATTAAATTCAAAAGCATGTTTATTTCAACAATATAGTGGATTTCTCTATGTTTCGAGGGGTGAATCGACTAGCTTGGGACCGAAGAGAGTACCAACATAGAGGTAACTCTAATACCCCGTTCACATTACAGCCTATATCACGTAATATAGGCGGTCTTGCAATGAGCACTCATACATAGGATTTCCAGTGAAAACTAGATGTATGAGTGCTCATTGCAAGACAGCGTATATCACGTGATATACGCTGTAATGTGAACGGGGTATAAGACTAGAAGGTCCAGAAATAACGTGCTCAACTTTTTGGCTCAGCTCTGGTACTCTCTTCGGTCCCAAGCTAATCGATTCACCCCTCAAAACATAGGAAAAACCACTAACCCCTCATTTTATCTGTCAAACTTTCATAGCGAATCAAAAAAAACATTGCGTAGTACTAGAATTTCAACTTGAATGGGGTACGTTAATCGTTTGCTTGGGACCAATAGGCTAGTCAAGTAGTGAGCCAATTTAAAAAACGTTAGTTTCGTATTGATTGTTGGTACCAGAGCTGAGCCAAAAAGTTGAGCACGTTATTTCGGGACCTTCTAGTCTTAGAGTTACCTCTATGCTTATACATTCCATAAGACAAACCGCAAAGGTCCTATAAGAATGCATAAAAGGTACGTGTGACCGCTTATACATTTTATTTGACACATGATCTTCATTAATATTTTGCAAGGCGTCTGCTTATTAGTTGACTTATACATTTTATGAATAATCTGCATACTGAGAACAGATAGAAATACGTCACTGCCAACAGCTGTTTCGTGTAAAAAGATAAACATTGCAATATATTTAATACGAACACCACTAACCATTTGCCTATTTCACTAACATCAATAAGCCCTTTGGCCCAAACCTTATATAAACGTCATTGGTATCACCTCTATACTAATCAGCAGATATCACATCACATGCTGTCTATGCAGAATTTGATTTTTTTTTGCGTTTTTTGATTATTTTATGTTATAATTTTATTAATCCTGCAACACTTTACGGTTTGGTTAACCTCCCTCCTGAATACACCTTGGATCACACACATGACATGACATTGTCTCTCTTTTTGGTGATCGCACATCACTGGCCATCTGTTGGTGCACGAATGAACTTGCTTAACTAAGCACGGTCGTTGAATTCAACTCAAGTGAGAGTTACGCTAATTCAAATTTGCAAAATAAAATTTCTAGAAAAAACATCTCAAAAAGTCCAATTTGCTTTGATCAATTCACTTCATCGATTTTCTCCTTCATTAACTCAGCTGAAAAACCTTTCATGTTGAATTTGACGTTTTGAACGCTAGATAAGAACCTCCTTTATCAATCTATGTGGTAAAAATAGCACAAAATCCGTTTGCATAGCAGAAAGTCGGACCTTTTGAAATGTTCATCGAGATTTGTATATTTTCTTCAAGACGACACACACTCAAAAAATCTCTTCAATGACATTCTTTTTACAGGCATTCACACTAAGATTACATAAAAACAGACGTAACTCTTCATTGTATATCTTCTTTCACACATTTAACGGTTGATTTGAATATTATCAGTTCCGCGAACTACTCGCTGTAGCGCTGGCATTGGATCACTTTGACGTTTCTATACATCCAATTGAACTTTCACGCAATATTGTTTGCGAGTTAGCGAGCAAGCTTGTTTTCCCCGAGAAGCCCGAGAGATGTCGTTACTTAGGTCATATGTTCTGAGATACTATGTTTTCAAGAAATACTTTTTCAAAGAGTTACGTCTGTTTGTCTGTGCTAGGATTATTGTACCGAAATCTGTGAAATTTTACCGAAATCACAACAGCTGAACATTCGATAAATAGTTCGGTGTTTTTTCACAGTTTTCCTGTAATTTTTAAACGAATATCGTGTGAAAAATTACAGAAAATCTGTGAAAAATTACAGATTTCGGTAAAATAATCTTAGTATGAAGCATGGTAAAATAAAATGCATCTGAGTGAGTGTCGTTTTCCCTGATTTACCTTTCCAATAAGGAGGAGCAGTAGTTCCAGCTAGAGCTCTTAACGTTCTGCTAGAGCAGCTTTACATCACATCCGGTACATACAAATCAAACCCGCTGATAGCGGTTGTCTACTTCCGGCATTCAGTGGATTCCAGTTTTGAGCTAGGTTTAATTTTGACTTATTTTTACAAAGTTCAATAGCAATTTACCCATTAAAATACAGACGATGTATCCTTTTCTGTGGTGCTTACACAGAAAAAAAGGTGGTTGAATATTACATCCAAACTGTTGCAACCAGATCAATTCATCGGTTGTGTAATATAACGTTGTACGATGTACATCGATTTTGCGAACAAATTTACATCCATTGATGTAATATTGTATCTGCTTTTTGCTATTACATCATTATTTCATACATCAGCTTGAATTACATTGATCGATACACAGCAAAAAAAATGTAATATCGATCAACGTAATTCAAGCTGATGTATGAAATAATGATGTAATAGCAAAAAGCAGATACAATATTACATCAATGGATGTAATTTTGTTCGCAAAATTGATGTACATCGTACAACGTAATATTACACAACCGGCGGAAGATCTCTGTGCAGCTGTTTGGCTGTAATATTCAACAACTTTTTTTTCTATGTATTACATTTTTTTTTGCTGTGTAGTGATACGCTAACCAACTACGTTACTGCACGGAAAGGAATTTTGTAGTAGCACTGAGTTCCTCGCAAATCACTCGCTCTGGGTTATTCTCATTAGCCGTGTGTACACGCGGGTAACCAATAAATCACGCGTAATTTTTCAAATAGACCAATCTACATTGATCGATTATCTTCATCGACACTCTATTTCATTAATAACGTCTTGGCTGCATTCATATTTCGTGTTAATTTTTCTAGATAGTCTGTTAAAAAAAGCATTATTTAGAGTATTGGACGATTATAACAGCTAAATATGTTTTTGGAGCCGAGTTATTAACGAAAGAGAGAGTCGATGAAGAGAATTGATCAATGCAGTTTGGTCTATTTGAAAAGTGACGCGATCTCGAGAAATAAAATAACACGAATAAACAGAGCTGCGCGCTATTGAGAGTTCACTCGTGGCGCGCGGGCAGGTGTTTCGCGCGGATTTGAAATTAAACGTCAGTTGTTCCAGTTATTTTTCTTATTTGCGTTGCATCGTCGTGCGGGTTGTGGCCGAATCGCGCTTAAATGTATTCTCTCGGATTGATCGTGGTTCTTTTCGTTTTCGTTGGACGTGTCTGCTGTTGATACAGGTTCCTGTCTTTCAAGGAAAGGACAAGAAAGTTTTTTTTTGCGGTTGTTGTGATAATTTCGAGTTGAAATGGATCCCAACAACGCTAGCCTATCCTGCGTTGCAACCATCGACTGGTTGAACACTCAGGGAACCACCATCAAGAAATTGGCCTACAAACAGGCCACCCTCCGTCTGGTCCGGAATACGTTAAAGGAAATGTTTTTGGAAATTTCCGCCGAAAAGATGAAGGCCATTAAATTAAAATTAAAAGGTAAGATTGACAGGAAAGTTTGACTCATTAATTTTAGTCGGATTATTGTTTATCTTCTTATTAGAATTGAAAAGTCAAAGTAACGGTACATTGAATTTAGCATAATCGATTTATGTTCTCCCACAGGAATTAATGTCCACTCTAAGTTCATGGCAGAAGGCAAGGCCTCTATTCGCTTTAATGACGAAAAATGCACCTTATTCTTATCTAACGCGCCACCGGGGCTGCTTGTTCAATTTTTGAAGGTGATATTCGTCAAGATTACCACGGGCCAGACGTCCAATGAAGAAACCAAAGAGGAAATGCTGAAGAAAACCCGTGCTCATTTGCTGTCGGAAAAAGCAAATCAGTTCGATGATATCAGTCCGGTTACGAATGCTGAGTTGGCCCGCGCGAAGAAGCTGGCAGTGGGTAATGGTTCCAGTACAACACCTTCGGCACAGCAAAAACGTAAACGTATTTCCGGTGAGGAGCAAAGACCTCCTCCAAAGAAGCTGTACGTTCCGTCTCCCCTGACCGGTAACATGGAAGTTGTAGAAGTACTGAACGAACAGCAGAAGATGGTGCTGGAAGCTTGCAATTCAGGACGTAGTGTATTCTTCACTGGATCTGCCGGCACAGGTAAAAGTTTTCTCTTAAGGAAGATCATTTCGACACTTCCACCGGATGGAACGGTGGCGACCGCTTCGACTGGTGTCGCTGCTTGCTTGATTGGTGGTACGACTTTGCATTCATTCGCCGGAATCGGAAGCGGTGAAGCTTCGCTTCAACGGTGCTATGAGATGGCCTCTAGGCCTAACAGTGCTCAGATCTGGAGGAAATGCAAACGATTGATTATCGATGAAATTTCCATGGTGGATGGAGACTATTTCGAGGTAGGTGTTGAGTAATATCCAATTAGTTATGTAAATATAAAGATTAAGCAACTCTTTTTGTCAACAGAAAATCGAAGCCGTTGCTCGTTATGTTCGTAAAACCGACAAACCGTTCGGAGGAATCCAGTTGATCCTGTGCGGGGATTTTTTTCAGTTGCCCCCAGTCGTAAAGCAGGATAAGTTCTCTCGAAATGCTATGTCGCAGGATGTTGCTGTGCCGTTGGTTCGATTCAGTTTTCAATCGAAAGCCTGGCGCGAGTGCATTCAGAATTCGTACGAGCTTTCCGTCGTTCACCGACAGAAGGATCCCGAATTTGTCTCCATTCTAAACAGTATTAGAATCGGTCGTGTAACACCGGAAATTCGCGATCGACTGGCGGCGACTTCCAAGCAGCAAATCGAAATGGAAGGCATTCTCGCCACGCAACTTTGTTCCCACACCAACGATGCAGATTTGATCAATCAATCGAAGCTTAACAATCTCTCGGGAGAGGAAAAGACTTTCCATGCAATCGATAGTGATGCCTACATGACGAGGCAATTGGATCAACAGGTCCAAGCGCCTGGTAAACTTACACTTAAGCTGGGTGCCCAAGTGATGCTATTAAAGAATCTCAACATTGCCGAAGGCCTGGTAAACGGTGCTCGTGGAGTTGTGATAAATTTCGTCCAAGGGTACCCGTTGGTGAAATTCAAGAAACGTGAACTGCTAGTCAAACCGGAAAAATGGTCCATCAAAACGGCGGGAGCCGTCATCATTAATCGTTGTCAACTGCCGCTGAAACTAGCTTGGGCTTTCTCAATCCATAAATCTCAAGGTCTGACGCTGGATTGCGTCGAGATGTCATTGTCCAAGGTGTTCGAAGCGGGACAAGCCTATGTGGCCCTGAGTCGAGCTCAGAGCCTGGAGAGCCTGCGGGTGCTGGACGGTAAACAAGTGTGGGCCAATCCAACCGTACTGGAGTATTATCGTGATTTGCGCCGGCAGATCCGTGACCGTGAGCTCATTACTCCGATGGCTGTGAAAAAGAAGGATGGTGGACTGAAGAAGTCTCTTTCCTCGATAGGATTGACCAAGTCGATGATGGCTAAACCACTTGTGACGATTAACTAGATGAATTTTGATTCTAAGCTTAGGCATAATTTTATTCATTTTGTTCATTTGATTTCAACTTTCATAGCTTTCGTACCTTAATTTTAAAGGAAATTCGCTTCGCGTAGCGTACAAGCAAGTGCATTCGACATATAACTAGAAGAATTTGTACTTAATGATAATTGACGGAATTAGTGATAAGTACCATCACCCTATTTAGATAAGAAGCAATCCTAACCTTGAACTTATAACGAAAATTAAAAGAGCAGTATATGACTAACTAAACTTAGATCAGTTTTGTTGATTGTTAGATATCTCACGATGACGTCCTCTGCCGAATGACCCAAATGATTATGCAGGGTGCGTGTGTGTGGTCGTAAAAGTTTTCCATAGCTTGACCAGGAATCAGGTTCATATTTTTACATGTGTGACCGAGGCACCTCCTCTTACGTTGTGGAATTTCGAAAGAAGCTCAACATTTGAGATACAGTGAACCACTTAGTCAAGCATTCTTTTTTCCTTGATTTGTTTTCCGTCGATCTTGTTTTCCGTGCTGAGCACCAATGCTACCGAAGCCAGGGAGGCAGCTCCCACACCTGGACCCTACCTATCGACCCATCAACTCATGAACCGGGGGCCAACGGCTTTACTTCCCTTCCGAAGGAAGGCGTGATCAGAGATGATTTACCTCAGAACATCCCGGCGACGCCGACTGGGATTGAACCCAGGCCTGCAAAACTGACATCTGCCGCCGTGTTTGCGGAGAATATTTATCCGCGCCACGAACATACATTTATGAGTTGGTTCGTGTCTTATCTATTTCAGTCAAATTATTTTTATCTAGATAAAACTTTTCTATGGTTGTGACAGATGGGATCGCTGCAGATTCGATTGACAATTTGTGCTTTACGGAATAATTCGATATAAAACCACCGACAAACCGACATGACACTTAATTTTGACTTATGCCCGAAAATCGTAAACGACCGATTTAAATGTGCAGTGATCCGAACTGTCAAAATCATAGGATTTTTTGATCTAGATAAAAATAGTTTGTCCAGAATAGATCAGACACGAACGAATTCATAACTTTTGTATGCGGGTTCATGGCTTAGCTAAATATTTCCCGCGAACACGGAGCCAGATGTCAGTAGTGTGCTTTGGTCAGAAATTTTATTGTTTTTACTATGGCAATTCATGTCGGTTTGTCGGTGATAAAACTACCGAACAGTTCGGTAAAATTATCGAACAGCTCGGTAATCTTGACACTTCATCGACTAAAACGTTCAGTAGTCATTTCGTTTACCGAACGTTCAGCTGTTGAAAGTTCGGTAAAAAATTGCCATGGATCCTAAGCGCCATCATCCAGGAAAAATTCTAGTAAACTTTCCCGGTTTAATGCCAACTCCCCCTATTGTGATAACCACTTCCGATTTCCATGCTCTTCGCATGGATCTTTTGAACTCAAGTTTTCACTGCAAATTGGCCGTCGGGGCGAATCCGTGTATTGGCTGACAACTTGTACCTTACTAAGAAGCAGCATCATTTTTTTTACTCCCGACATCAAAATTGAACGTGTGTTCAAGGTTGTCATGAAAAGTCTGCCCAGCAGTGAATCCCTGCATCAGATTAAAGATGAACTGACAAAATTACTTGGAGTTGTGCCACTCCAAGTAATCAAAAAAATGAAATCCCGTCCTGGCGATTCACGGAACGGGATTTCCAATGATTTTTATTTAGTTCACTTCAAGTCTAGTGAACTAAACAACCTTAAGGCCTTAGAAAAAGCTACCCTTATGCTCCATGTCCGAGTGAAGTGGGAACACTTAAGGAAGACTGGAGGAAATTTCCAAAACCTCGCCCAGTGCCGTAAGTGCCAGGGATGGGGTCACGGAACAAAACTACAAGGGACAACCCTATAGGATTGTACGCAATGGTGACGTAGGACTACGTGGTCTTATATAGTAAATCTTATTTGTTAAATGCAGCAGGAGCTTGTGTTTTGTGTAGGAATAGGAATTTGAGCGGGGTTCTCTCTTAGTATGACATGCTTGACATAGATGGCCCACAGCAACTCACAAAGAGCTACTGATTCCGATCAATAGCGGTGCAGCTTCTTCCTCTTTCTATGGATGCTCATGTGGACTGCAGCTCACTGCTTGCAGGCTGCCTTTCGTTGTGTACTGGCGAACAATGTTCAACGCTACGCGCCGAAAGCACTGTTGCTACTACAGCTGATGCCGACGACCGGACACCACCACACACGGTGTTTGGAACGGAATCCGATCAGCGGTTGAGGTCAGCCTTGATAGCTATCTGCTTGCCTTTCGTTATGTACTGGAGAACACCATCACTCACCACGCGGTGATTGAATAAACACCGTTTGGTGAGACCAGATGGAATTCAACTTTGAAATCTGTGTTAGGGAGATCGCTTTTCGCAGGCAATCGGTGATCATTCAGCTATACATTTGTGAAATTTTCAATAGTGACAAGTGATTTTCAATTTTGAAAAATTATAATGTCTTAAATTTAACAGATGCGTAGAAATGTATCTGATCGATTGGTTATAAAATTATTGAAATTGGTCCAGGGGCAGCTGAGTAATTAACGTTCAAAATCTTTCATAATTTCGTTACATGTTCCATTTTCGGTTTTCACAAAGTGTACCCCACATAGAAATCACAGACGTAGTCCTACACGCAGAAAAAAATATTTTAAACGTAATAATATTTGACGTAAATGCAATAAGAATTTCATGTTGTTTTGGCTGCAAAAAGAAATCATTATTGTTTCAACAATCCAGTATTGTTGTCCCTTAAACCCATGAATTGTTAAATCAAAAAGAAAATCTTTTCGAATTTACAAGAGCTTTCATGGTTTTGACGTAAGCTGTCAAATTTGGCAGCTGGGTCAACAAGAAAATATGTTTGTTTTTAAAAGAGATTTCTTGTTGATTCAATCAAATTTATTTTATGAAGGCTGACAATTCACGCAGTAGAAATAACAATATGTTTATTGATTCAAAAATAATGTCGATTTTTTTTTTGTGTTTTGTTTTCTTTTTGCAACAAACAGAATTGCAATTGAATTTTTGAGGCATAAAATCACTGATCACGCCTTCCTTCGGGAAGGGAAGTAAAGCCGTTAGTCACCGGTTCATGAGTTGATGGGTCGATATGTAGGGTCCAGGTGTGGGAGGTGTATTCCTGGCGTCGGGAGCATTGGTACTCAGTACGGAAAACAAGATCGACGGAAAAAAATCAAGGAAAAAAAAACTGAAAAATTGATTATATTTAACAACTGCAGCTTGAACTGCAGCTTACTTGCTTACCTCAAGTCTCAAGATTTTCGGAAATCTCGTACTTATTTCCCGAAATTCACAATTAAAAACAATACTTAATCAAATGAGAAAATTTTTGTTATTGTTTACATTTTTGTCCGGGTGAAAACGAGGGAATGGTTGGTAGTTATTTTTGTATTCATGGCCCGGGGAATGGACACAGCAAATAAATGCTAAATTAAAATTAACTATTGTTGGCTTAATAATAGAATATTGTTATTTTTACAATAGTTGCAATTGAAAAGTGGCTTATTAAAACAAAAAGAATCTTATGTTGAATTTATTTGAATAAGTTTTATAGAAACAATAAAATGCAATATAATTTCAACCGGAATTGTTTGTTTAAATACAACTAAAGTTTTGTTTGGTTCAATGCAAACAATTTTCTGTCCGTGTACGTCAAAGAAATGTTATATGCCAGCTAAATGCATGAATTGTGGTGATTCCTCTCACGCAAAGGACGACTGTCCTGTGAAGGAAGATCCTAAGAAATTTAAATGTTCAAATTGTGCTGAAAACCTCAAATCCAATTTTTGGGAATGTAAGACTCGCAAAGCGATCCTACAATCTCGTTCTAAGCGACAGGTAGGAAACGCTCCACGTTTCCGACCAGGTACAAATTTCTCTGCTGTTAACAACGGTCAGCGAGGAACAAATTCTACATTCGTACCCGTAGGTACAAATATCAACCCTGCTTCATATTCTTCATCTACACACCAAGTTGTTTTTACAGTTGTCGGTAAACATTTTACTGACTTTCAAACAGCTGCTGATTCGGTAATAAGTTCGGTAAAAGTTTGGTTTACTGAACGATCAGTAAACTTGCAATGTATACTCAACTGTCAAAAAATATCGACTAGCTCATCACTCAATACCGAAGTTCGGTAAAATTTACAAAATAATCGGTAAACATAGAAAGGTCGTCATCTGCCAAAAATTACAGTTCTTTCGCTAGTTTTTACTGAAAAACAGTGAAATATAGGGAATTATTCCGTTCAAATCATGCACAATATAAATTGTTGTTTATATCTTTTATTAAATGCAATTCGTCAATCTGTTTATCCAACGAGTCAGCGATCGCCAGCCATTTTATTTGAGTGCTAAAAAATGAAAACATTTAGATAATATAAATAGTACTTACTGAAAAGATCCCTTATTTCCGCATCCGGCCGTTAGCACATCTAATCTCATCAGACACGTCTTCAGTTTCAATGGTTTACAAGTTTTTTTTTCTGCTAATATGCGCACGATTTTCTTAAAATTTAATTACACTTGAATTTTACACCGCTTAACATGCGAAATTGACGAAGATTTGACAGGCGTGATTTTAACTGAAGCGTTCCGTAATAATTACTAAACTCCTGTATTGTTTACATTTTTCGTCAGTATTTATACATTGTTCACTGGAAATCGGTAAAACTTGTACTGAACAGTTTAGATTAAATGACATTTCATGGCTTACAAACTACATCGGTAAAATTTTCAGTAATATTTTCATGGGAATTACCGAAAACTTGTAGATATTTGACAGACAGAAGAAAATTAAAGCAGTTTTACAGATCACTCAGTAGAAATTAAATTTTACAGATCAAAACCGTAAAAAAATTTACTGAACATCAAAATTAGAATTTGGTGTGTATACCTGCTCCCCTCGCTGCTAATAATGTTCAGCGAGTAAATGGAGCAACCTATGCTGCTACTTCACTGCCCATAATCGCATATCAGTCCTATATGGATAGGAAATCAAGCAAAGATGGAACATGAAATGATTACTGATATGCTTAAAACTAACTCCATGTTTGATGCTATTCAAACTGGAGATAAATATGCGTACAATATCGTCATGACTTTGAAATTCAGTAATGGATTTTAAATCATCAAATATTTTAAATTGGAATTCTCGATCTCTTAAAGATAATGAAGACGAGC